TGACAGCTTTCCTTTTAAAGCATTCCATTTCTGTATCAAAATTGGGGAAATTTAATAACCATTACCCAACTAATACATTTGAGATTCCCCAAACCCTGCTTACCGGAGGCAGCTGTGGAGACTGGGGAAATGGGAACTGAGGGAAAAATGGTAGTGCTTGTGGTGGGTAAATGTTAAATCTCTGTAAAAAGAAACACACCAGTCATTTCACTGGTAAATATGCAAACTTTCAAATGATGAATGTGTTATTTGGAAATACAACTAGAAGTTTACCTGTCCACTGGAACTTCCTCCAGATTGGGCAAGCTTGAAAACAAGAAAAGTAACAAGGTAAAGCAGCTTCTGGCGGTACATTCGCCAATAAAAGGAGATTTCATTTTAAATGTGAATACGTGCCAAGCCTCCTGTGAGCATGATGCCTGTCAGTGATGTAGCTTCACCTATAGAATTACATCTAACAGGGAAAAGCTGTTAACTTTGTCCAATGATCTAGAGCACCAAGAATTTTTTGCTTTTAAACTTGTATCCAAAGAGTGTTTTTATTTACATTTCTTATTATACACTGCATGCTTTAAAAAATCTTTGAATTCATTACTCCTAGATTTGTTTTCAGTATGTAGAAGTTCAAGGTGAAAGGAGTTTAGGAGTGTTACATTAAAAAAATTATTTGTTATTTTTATTTTATGTGTATGAGTGTATGTAAGCACACCTGGGTTGTGCAATACCTGCAGAGGTCAGAAGAGGGCGTTGGATCCCTTGGAACTGGAGTTACAGACAGTTGTTAGCCGCCATGTGGGTGCTGGGAATTGGACCCAGGTCCTTTGCAAGAGCAGCCAGTGTTCTCAACTGCTGAGCCATCTTTCCGGCTCCAGGTGTTATATTTTTTAACTGCCCTCACAGCAAAAAATTTACTTCAAAACTCCTTTGTTGCAATGTGTATGGGAGAAGGTTTATTGCTGAACTGGTGTTGAACATATTTAGATTATAATAAATATAAATTGGTCCTATATTTCATTTATATAGATGTGGAAGGCATGACTGTAGTCAGTTCACAGCAAAAGGTTTCTAAAGGTAAGTTAGTGGTAGTGCAGGCTTGCTGTATTTCGTATATTCTAAGATGCTATCACTATAAAATGCATCATTATTTTATAGATCACCAACAAAGAAAAATGTATCTGTTAAATTGACACAATGATTTATCACTTTATGATTATAAGACACATCTTAATTTCAGAGATGCTAAAATAGTAAAAAAGCACATTAAAATTAATGAAATATGTGCACTGCAACAACTTCAGCAGCATAACTTTCTTAAAGAGACAAGCAATACACATCATTTGGAAGTTTAGGTAATGCTTGTTTGGGCTGGGGCTGTAACTTGGGAGAGCTTTTGCCTTGCACTTGCCCTTGCACATGCAAAGCCTTGTGTGTGCCCCCCAGCACTACAAAGAATGCATCACAATAACAATGCCTATTGACGTTGGAAGAAAGGACTATGGTCTCAAATAACAGATTAGGTTTGCTATCCAGGCACACTGCTATGAATACTGGTTTTTATTAAAATCTGTTTTTCAGAAATGGAACTTTAAAGACATACACATGTAATCTATTAATGATTTTTCAGTATACTGGACTGTATATTTCAGGCACAAGTTTTTAATGTTCATAACTTAGAGCCACTGTTGGTAGTCTTAAATATTCCTTTCTGTAAAATCAACTCTAAAAGGAAATAGTCTTTTGGTGTCAGAGCCTCTTTGCAGAGGAGCCTTTAAAAAAACAAGATGATTTGGGTAAGGGTGTTATCAATGAAGTTCAGTGTGATTGTCCTTTTAGACCTGGGTCACTGTAGAATAGTTTTGTATTGCTAAGTTTGATGAGAACTTTCTGTTGCAGGTAGGACTTTTAAGTGTTTTAGGACCACTCTGAGGATGTTCTTCGAACTCATTTTGTAGTCTGAAAGCCTGGGTTAGTTCCTGCCCACGGTCATTAGCTAGCACATGGTGCAGAAGCTGGGCCTTGTGATAGGCCTGAGTGGCAGCTTACTGATCCCACTGCTCTCCTAGACTCTGCTCTCCTCTCCTGTGAACTGAAAAGATATAGGAGATGCTGAAGTCCAGAAATGTGAAGACTCCCAATGGTGACTGATGGAAGAGTGGAGGAGGGAGTACTCACAGGGATGGGCAGAGCAGAGGCAGTGCTCAGCAGGCCAGCCAGGATGAAGAGCTTCATTCTGACACAAGAGTCTGGAATTGAAGTGCCAGGTGATCACTTCTCAGTTCCTTCTGAGTCCTGTTTCTGTTGTAAACAGATGGTTGAGGTAGAGGTGCTGACATTGTGTCCTAAGCTGCCTCTAGATTCACATTTTGTAAGCCTGGAAGAATACCTTTAAAAACCTTCAAATGCAAACCAGGCATAGTGGCACGCACCTTTAATCCCAGAGCTCAGGAGGCTGAGGTAGATGGATTTCTCTGAGATCGAGGCCAGCCAGGTCTACATAGTGAATTCCAGACCAGCTGGGGCTACAGGGAAGCTCAAAACAAACCAAGAACAACCACCACCACCCCAAACCAAACCAACCAAATAAAAAACAAAAAGCCCTTCAAATGCTGTTAGAGGAGGCATTCTTTTTTTTTGACCCTTAAAGTCATTTGAGTTTGTGATCTCTGTACACAAATCTTTTGCTTTTAATGTTGCATGCATAACCATTGGGAACTGATTATCACTGGGTAAAGAGAGAGGACAGTGGAACACACAGATAAATGCAGCAGGAGCTTGTACTTGCCTGAGACTGATCTGGATGCTGTTGTTGACAATTACAGTTTCTTAGAAAGGAAATTACATGAGAAAAAATTCATAAGGTATAACAGCTTGATAAAGAATAAGCACAATGTGATTAAATTCAGTAAAGCAAATCAACATGGCCTACACTGCCCTGTTGATTCTGACATAAACCTTTGTATATTTGCAAAATCACATTTATTTTCAATGAACTTACCTTGTGAATTTTAAAGCAAATCACTGAGTTTGATTATGAGAGAAAAACAACATCATCATAGTTTTAAGACATGTCCCTAACGTTTAAGGCAAGTTCTATCAATACAGAAATCATTCTGTCTATATATAAACCATTCTTCTATTTTGTATTTACTTAAACTCAATTCTGGCTGAGTTTGTTTTACTTTGTTTGAATTTAGACTACTTTTCTCCCTTTCTTCTTCATGTTTTTCCTTGGTATTTTTTTCTGGATTCAAACACTTGAAGTTCTTTCTTCTTTTGCTAAGTGGACCTGGTAGAATCATTAAATTATCCAACCCAAGAATTTCTCACCTGCTTTTATCTAGTGAAGTAGAATCAGTACAAATTGTATCTCTTTAATTACCTGTGCTTCAAATGGCCCTGGGAGCAGCACACTCAGGAAGCCCTGTGGATTGGAGTCTCTATGCCTGGCTAGTATTTAAGCTGTATTACTAGTGCCTTCATGGTGACGGGGAATATGACTCACAAAATTCAAAGCTTACCTGAAATATCACAATTACACAGAGATGGGTTTAAAGACCGATTACTGAGAAAACAGCTTCATCTCCTCAGCTGGGATCAGAGTAATTCTGTATCACAACCAACCAATAATTAAAATTTGTAACCACCAACACTATTAAAGTGCCTCTATGATCTGTCATCCAGGTACGTAGTTGGGAGCCCTAGAACTGGTAGAGAAATGTAAGACTTGAAAGTTCCTATTGTTAGTATTTTTATTTCAAAATGAAAATTATTTCTAAGTAACACTTTTAGTAACCTCTTAAATGACATCCTTAAAAATCACCTTTGCTTATTTTAAAGCATCTTTTAAAAAGTTGCCTGAGAATAAAAGAAAATTTAGGTCTAATTGATATCTCTTAGTATATTTATGAAACTTGATTTCTGAAGTTTGGTTTCTAATTAGTTAAAATATTCTTTGGATATGTACAAAAGTATTCTGAAGTTTGGAGTAATTTCCAAAATTTATTCTCTAGTTGATGAAAATAACAATTAAATTTTGATTTCAAATTGGACTTAATTATTTAGAAAGTGCATGGTTTAATGTGATTTGAGTTAAGAGCAAGTGACTTATTGACATCATAAAAGAGATAAAAGCATTTGAAGTAAACTGTATTGATATCTTCTGTTTTAGATAGGAAATTATTTACCCCCCCCACTTTCTTTCAAATACTATAAAAGTGGAATGAAATGGATGTTTCCTTTATTACTTCCTTTCAGACCTTGCAAAACTGAATGGTGTCATTTATATTTTTATATGCTCCAACTTTTTAAAAATTTATTTATTATTTTTATTTTATGTGTTTGTATTGCCTGCATATAGGTAAGTGCACCATGCCATGCAATGCCCGCAGAGGACAGAAGAAGCTGACAGATGCCCTGGAACTGGAGTTACTGACAGCTGTTAGCTGCCATGTGGGTGCTGGGATTCAAACCCGGGTCTTCTGCAAGAACAGCTAGTGTTCTTAACTGCTGAGCCATCTCTGTAGCCCCATGCTCTAACTTTTAATGCAACAGTCAGCAAAGAAGAGCTCAAGCAGAAGCACAAGTTTTCTAAGACAATCAAATCCCAGGAATAGTCTTATCTCTCCCAACACTGGCCATCACGATACTCCATGGCTCTCCATCTGCCTCCTGTACCTTTATTTTGAGAAATGAAATGTGTAGAGAGTTTTCAGAGCCCTCTTGCCCCATGCACATACACAGAAGCTGGACTTGGTTGGATATAGCAATGTGGAATCACCCACATTTTAAATAGAATTTAACTAAAAAGCAGTTGAATTCATACCTGCCCTCTCATTTAAAGTTATATAATAACAAGATATTCACAAGCAATAACTCCAACAATTTGTTTTCCATAGAAATGGTTTCAAGTAGTAAGGAAGTACAATTGCAATTTAATATCTACTGTGAGCCCTAGGCTGATCTTTCACATTTGATAAATAATTGGAAGTAAACTTGGACACTGAAATTTTATGAACTCTTTATTAGGCTAGTAAGATACTGAAAATGATACATGTTAACCATGAAAGAACAATATTCAATTTTCTTGAAGTGCACACAGTGTTATGAACAATATGAACAATTTTTTTTCAAGTTTTATAATTAGCAGTTATTGTAAAAGTAGATGCAGAGTGAAATTACTAAGTTAAACTCCTGTTCATAAAATGTATCAACTTTACTTAATTTTAAAAAGTTTCATATTTCCTAAGTTACTGTTGGATGCCTGCTACTTATATTTTGTTACTAAGCAATTACTTTCATTGTCTTCTCTGACATGCAAACATTTTGCTAAATATAAATCTATCAGTGTCATGGCTACATGTATTTTAGAACTAGTTAAAGCAGGGGACGCCGATGGAAAATTTCAGTTCTTTCAAAGCTTAATTCAAAACAGGAGGTTTTCATCTATGTCTTCTGCAAAGAAAAAAAAGAAAAACACTTTTAGAAAGTCAGCAAAGAAGCAACATAACCAAAGTTAGAGCTGGGGATTAGCGAAACCACCTAAAAAGGCAGTGTAATGGTGATTCTCAACATGGTAGAGCATCAAAAGCACTTGAACTGTTGAA